TACCTAGGAATCTTCTACTTCGAAAATTCTTACGTTCATGCATGTGGCCTTTAATAATCAGCTAGATTAATTCCCAAATCAGCTTTGGTTACTCTCTACTGATTAAGCCATATTTCACTCAACCAAAGGCTTTAAATACACTTTGTTTGCTTAGGCCGTTTAAACTTGTACTGTACCTAGATATCCTACGAACAATACTTGTCATGAGATAGCCTTTAAAATCCTGTTAGGAACTCGAACAAACATAACAACGAAAAAGTAAAATAGGGCCTAAATATAGGAATGAGGCCCACCTCAGCGAATTGATAGCTAAAGGAGGAAGCTGAAAGGATGAACATATTAAGAATATTTTTATGCATGGTTCAATACAAGCTTTAGTCACCGTGAAGTAGAAATATGTAATCATACTGAGAATGAATATAGACAATCTAGTATTATTGAAAAGAACATTCACCATTGGAAATAAAAAGATCGAAATGAATCTCTCCAATAAATGCCTTTAGACTGATACACACTGTTTTACGAGTAATATAATAGATTCGACATTAAATGACCAAAATCTAAATTTTCCAGAGGATTTATAACCGGCATCAGTATATATATATATTGATCAGTAGAAAGGACTGGATTATTATAATGTCGATCTAATGCCCCAATTTTCCCTATTCAAGTAAGCACCAAATGGGAGATTTGAAGTAAAGAAAAAAATCAAGCGAAGGAATAAAAAAGGATTCCCGTTAATTCTTTAAGTTGACCATCCGAGTTGAAAATAATGGACAAATAGAAGTCTACTCTGGGTTAGGGCCAAGTAATTAACAATAAGGGGCGAGAAGATGGATAATAAAGAAATCATGAGAAGCTGAAACGTTTTACTGTCATAGCTATGTCCATAATGAGCACCACTTTTGCCATTTCTGGCTTTCACACTTGAAGAAAGATAGGCACAAATAATCACATGAAAACAAAAGATTTTCTCTTCATCTTGGTCTTAGCTAATATCACAGTCCACCCTTTTATCTTCGTATAACCTTCAAGCCTGAGCTTGCCCACCCCAACGACCCCTCATCAGGCCTTTCATCCGATCACTGGGCTGGCAAGTGTTTGGGCAGAAACGTGAACGAGGGAGCAAGGGAGCTGTCGATTCCCATTAGCTAGCTCAACTTTTATTCACGCTTAAAACTCAATGCCAAATTCAGGGGGAAAGAGGGAGATCTTGAACAGACCAACGCGAGTGGGTTACGTTGAATAGAGATAAAAGATTGATTGATTAATTGATTTCAATTAGACAAACGTTTCACTCGAGTAGCTTAAAAATGCACAAAGCCAGAGCAAAGTCTAAAAGAGGCGGCCCTGAAAGGGAGAAAGAGAGAAGTGAGTGTGAAGAAAAATAAATAAAAATGAGAAAAAGCTAAGTGTCAATGAAGAAAGGGATAGGATGATGTATAATAAACCGGAGCCCACGCGTTTGATCTTTCCAGCAACCGACAATTCGGATTTTTCGAAAGTATATAGCAAGATTAGGAGACAGTTGCTTTATCGTGTATATAAGAAAATGAAAGGTAAGACAACACGCAGATAAAAATTTGCACCGGGAGCAGATGGTTAAGAAGTAGACTATCAGGAGGGTGAATGCAAATTTGCATAGCCTATCAAAAATATGCTGTGTCTATGTACAATGGAATATAATTTTAGGTGCATTCACTAAGTGCATGGATGGATTAGAATTAGTTTAAGAATTAAATACGTTATCTTCTTCAAGGCCTGAAAAGTAGAAGTCAGCATCATCGGCAAACCAGGCTTCTTCAGCTAACGGCCTAGACTGAAAATCAGACCCGGGAATCTTTACAGGCTCCTGAGACTTAGGTTTTGGCGAGCTTTTATCTCGCACATTAAGTAGAGAGTCCAGCAACAAATGGCTGGGGCCGCGGGTTTTGGAGGCAAGGTTTTTGTCTTTAGCACTAGTAGAGAGAGTCGCACCGGCGGCATATATCGTCTTTAGCGCTGTACTGGGTCTTTCGAGTCCAGTAGCCGTGTTGGTATGCCTGACAGACGCATCAGAAATAATGGGCACTTGGGAAGTAGAGGATGGATTAAAGCACGAAGGAGTTCTAGTAGTGTTGGCTGGAGTTGTAGTTGTATCCAAAGTTGGCTCAAAGGAATCTTCGAAAGCGGCGAGCAGCTGGGTGTTAGTGAAATCCGATTGATCTGAGCTAGTAGTCTGATCATCAGTGTGGGAGTTTTCTGTTCCTGTAGAAAGGCAAAGTAAAAGACAAAAAGAGTGCGTGTATGCGCACGAACGTATAAACGTGATCTGTTACAATGCATAAGACGAGGAATTTGGACGACATTTCTAAGGAAAACCGAAGTGAAACTCTTTCAAAGCTAGTAGTTACTTTATCGAAGCCATCTGCTTAAAATTGGAGGAACGTTTGTAGTAAACTCAAAACATGAGGTATTGTTCAATAAACAAATGAATGCAGCACTAAACATACTGACTAATCTGGCTAAAAAACACGAACATATTTTGAAAAAAAGGCTAAAATTAGGATTGCGGCTAAAATAGTGAAATCTGCTCGTTTTTTAACCAATGCGCTAATTATATTTACGTTATGCTATTGCATGTGGCTAAATCTGACTAAGAATGTATCGTGCATGCAAATATATCTAAATGAACAAAAATGGGACCTAACAATTTACAGGGAGAACAATGTGAAAATAACCTAGTATTTTTGATGTTCACAGGATACGAAGGGCTTAAATAAAAGACCCGTTCTAGATTTATTTTCATTCCAGATGTGAAATCCTACACCTTCATAACGCCTTTTCGCGAATGTATGCAAGATATTTGAAAAACGCCTTGCAATTTGATGTTATCAGACCTTAAATCTGAAGTTAAAAGTTGGATTAAATTACTGTATCAGAAACTGAAGAAAGAATTCCTTGTAGAAATTATTATTGAAATGAGCAAACAAATCCTCTGAGATGTGTTATGAGGCCATCATGAATCCATGCTAAACTTCCGCGTGTCATTTGACAAAGATCATCAGGGCGAAAACCTTTAACAAAATTCACCAGACAATAGGGAAAACATAGTGGTTAACTAAAATCCTACTTCTTATTTTCTTATTTTGACATATTATTGGCTCCTACATGTTGCTTCTCCTTGAATATTTACAGATAAATAAAATTTATCTGGATATGGCCAAAATCCGCTTTATTTTCCAAATAACCTTCAGAGTAGTCCAGCTAACAAGAAAACGATATTAAACCTTATATTTCCTCTATATTTCACAAAGCCTTGGCTTCTCAAAAGGTATTCTTAGCTCGAATGGGATAGACTGAAGTTTCGGCCTCGCCCAGGTGTCGTCATCACTACCAGGTAAAGTACCCAGCTAAGGGTCCAATGCTGGAAATCACGAACACTACGGCAGAGGACACGGGACTAGGCACGATCCATGAAGTCTCCCTGATGCTCTGACCAAGTTGCAAAAACAAGATCGAACCAACATTATAGAGCTAACGGAGACTGCGGCCAAACAGAAGGTCACACCATATTAGTCTTCATATTTACGATTTAATGAGTAAAAATTGTGGAAATCAACTAGAGCATATTCAAGCACCAAAATTCCCAAGGATTATCTATTTGTGTTATTATATAATAAAATATTATATATAGGATAATATTTATAAAATAATGATATTATTGATATCAATTTTTGTAAGGATTATTGGAAAAATAATTTTACCCGGAAAAAAATGCACTGAAGTAGGCTCAAGGCTCAAATTTCTGCGCCCCATAGCATTCTACCAAAGTGAGCTGAATGTTACGTAGATTTTGATCTGAAGGATCAAGTCCAGCCAAGACAAAATTAAGTGATTAAACCCTTCGTAGACCTGATAAATAGTAATGGCCTGTATTATATTATATATTCGCTGCTGGTAAGTTTCTATACAGATAAAGTTCAAATTGAAACTAGAGAAATTCCAAGTGAATATCAGTGGAGCTTACCTGAAGCTCATCAATATAGTCAAGGCACTTAGCCCCGTTGACATTTAGCGCAAATCTAAAGGCTTTTAATGTTTCATTTAAGCTATAAAACCGTTTTTGTGAGTTACGAACATTAGAGCAGAGAAAAAATTTCATCTGAAAAGGTCACTGAGTAGAGGAGTATATTTTCAGATCTCTAGTGCTAGGAATTTTCTCTCATGCCGATCCTTAATATTCAATTCTTGGAAAATTTTCAAAATTGGCTGAAAAACGATTACCATACAAAAACCAAAGAGCGGTGGTAATCAGATGGATCATAGACGGATTCTTGTTTTGGAGGTAGAAGACTTTGATATGCTTGTAACCGATCGTATCAGGGGGATCCAGACAATCTCATAATGTGATCAGCAAGGTCAAATAGATACAATAAATCATAAAATCAAATTTGATGGGGGAGAACTAATTTCGCAAGAAAGAAGAATCTACGTGACATAGTGGCAACGTGGGACTTTTACAAGAGTTTCAGCTCTGATGATGTTCATCATATGATAGACGAAGATTCAGTCCGTTTTCACCCTAAGCGGGGAGGATGCCTCGTGGACTGCGTCAATCTGAACG